TGGACTGGCCAGCAATGGTGGGACTCACCTGCCTTATGGGCTGCAGTACCAGGGCTGGCCAGCGGGTGCTCCCAGCAATCAGAGACTCAACCTTGCAGCCAGCCAAACACCTGAAACTGCTTATACTGGTGTATTTAAGGGATGGCCAGACCTGCAGACTCTGCCTTGGTGTGTGTTTTTCCTGGGCCCTGTATCCTGTTCCTGCATCCTGTTCCTGTTCCTGTCTTGTTGCTGACCCTGCCTGATCTGGACCTCTGCTGACTTCTCCTGCTCTGACCCCGGCTCGTTCCTGACCATCCCTCTGCCTGACCCTCTGTACCACACTGCCCGCTACCTGCTGAACCTGGCTTGTGACCCCGACCATTCTCCGCTTGCTCCCCCTGTACCTACCTGCCCGATTGATATTGACCCGGCCTGCCTGACGACGCTTGCTTGTATATACTGTTATCTGTGGGTGGTTGGTTGGGTTTGTTTGCACTGTGTTAGGTTTTAGTATTGCACTGCGTTTATGTTTGTATTGTTAGTGTTAATAAATTATATTGTTTATAACATATCTGAAGTCTGCGTTTCCCTGCGTCAGTCACACACCTCTGGTCAAACCCGGGAGCCCTGACACCTGCTGTTACCGACCTTGGCCTGTCTTCCGACTACTTAGGCTTAGCTGGGGCGCCTATTTGTGAGCTTCCAGGGATTAAGCTGGGTCTGGAGAAGCTCACTGGAGAGAATCAGGAGGAAGTTGGTGGGAAAGAGTCCACCTGACGTTCCAGACCAAAAACTGGATTCCACTATTTGAGCTAGCTACAGTCAGCCTCCTAGCCAGGGCAGCTGTTAGAAACCATGGGGCCCCATACAGTCAACCTTACAGGGTCCTCCCCCTTTACTATATGCTTCAGTTATGAACAAACACAGTGAGTGATACCGATCACTCATAGTGTTGATTCAGGAAAGGAAGGGGCTGGTAAATGTGACATATTTATCGAGCCCTTCCCCCACTCTCCATCTTGAAGGATCCTATTGTGTGCTTGCAGCTGCCAATGGGAAGGAGAGGAGGGGGAAGCCCACAGCACTTTGGGGGTGGGGGCCACACAGAGGGGCAGCAGATGGAAACGTGTAGCGCACTGGGAGGGCGATGGGTGCACGGGGGGGGAGGCAGTTACTGGAACTGATCCCCTGTATGGCTCTCCCTGGTGCCTCGGGACTGTCAATAATTTTAAAGGGTGCCTCAAGATTGTCCATAATTTTAAAGGGTGCCTCAAGACTGTCCATAATTTTAAAGGGTGCCTCGGGACTGTCCAAAATTTTAAAAGGTGCCTCAAGACTGTCCATAATTTTAAAGGGGTGCCTCGGGACTGTCCATAATTTTAAAGGGTCCCTCTGGACTGTCCATCATTTTAAAGGGTGCCTCGTGACTGTCCATAATTGTAAAGGGTGCCTCAAGACTGTCCATCATTTTAAAGGGTGCCTCGTGACTGTCCATCATTTTAAAGGGTGCCTCAAGACTGTCCATCATTTTAAAGGGTGCCTCGGGACTTCCCATAATTTTAAAGGGTGCCTCGGGACTGTCCATAATTTTAAAGGGTTCCTCGGGACTGTCCATAATTTTAAAGGGTGCCTCGGACTGTCCATAATTTTAAAGGGTCCTCAAGACTGTTCGTAATTATAAAGGGTGCCTCGGGACTGTCCATCATTTTAAAGGGTGCCTCGGGACTGTCCATCATTTTAAAGGGTGCCTCGGGACTGTCCATCATTTTAAAGGGTGCCTCGGGACTGTCCATCATTTTAAAGGGTGCCTCGGGACTGTCCATCATTTTAAAGGGTGCCTTGACTGAAAAAAGGTTGAGAAACACTGATATAAAAAAGCATAAAATAAAGTCTGGGGGTCCTTCAGGGGTGAGGACACTGGGGAGAGAGGGAAGTGCAGAGGCTGGTGCTGGGCCCTAAAAAAGAGTGAAAGCGATCAGTTTCAATTACATAATGTGATCGATGTGCGGTAATCGTTTAATAAACATTTTTTTATATCGCGTACAGTTTGAATGATATACAGTAAGATTGTAAGTCAGCAATGCACAATGCATACTTGTAAAGCACACTGATATGCCATGTTTCCTTTTTTCTGCTAATCAGCAGCATGGCCATACCTCTGCTTTTTAAATTAGCCCTTAAATGTCATTCAGTTAGGATTTACATCAAGTGTAACAATGGAATCAGAGAACATTTTGCCAGGTATTACTTTAACAAAGCTGTCTTGTGACTGAGGATAATAACGGACGATATTTCATTCAATAGTTCGCTAATGCGGGAATGTGTTATCTCAGCCTGTTGAGTTTCTTTGCTTAAAGGTCACCATTAACAAAAGCAGCTGCATCTGCTAGTGAAACGGCTCCCGCGAGCCACTTAAACAACATAGGACGGCCAGCGAGTACGCGGTTAGGAAGAATCAGTCGCCGTTAAATGTCAGGACTCCAGGTGTGGCTGGACGCTGATCAAAAACTAGGCCTTAATGTTTAAAGAGAACCTTTTTCTGGCAGAGAGCCATATGAAGTCATAGGAGAGAGTAACAGAAGGTGTTGTACAGTACCGGCCAGAAGTGTAGGAACTGGGGTCACCCCTGCTCCCAGAAATGGTGGGGTTGCTGGTCTGGATCTTAAAGGGTATGTGTAGAGGTTCCTTCCTTTCTTCTGCCCCTCACTCCCTCTCTTCCTTCCTTCCCTTCTCCCTTCCTCCCAATCTTCCTTACTTTCATCCTTCCTCTTATTTCCTTCCCTTCCTCTCTTCCATCCTTCTTTCCTCCTTCCTTCCCTCCCACCCTTTCTTCTTATTTCCTTCCTTCCTCAATCTCATCCTTTCTTCCTTCCTCAATCTCATCCTTGCTTCCTTCCTCCCTTTCATCCTTCTTTCCTCCTTCCTTCCCTCCCACCCTTTCTTCTTCTTTCCTTCCTTCCACAGTCTCTTCTTTCCTTCCTTCCTCTGTCTCTTCTTCCTTCCTTCCTCAATCTCATCCTTTCTTCCTTCCTCCCTTTCATCCTTCTTTCCTCCTTCCTTCCCTCCCACCCTTTCTTCTTCTTTCCTTCCTTCCTCAATCTCATCCTTTCTTCCTTCCTCCCTTTCATCCTTCTTTCCTCCATCCTTCACTCCCACCCTTTCTTCTTCTTTCCTTCCTTCCTCTGTCTCTTCTTTCCTTCCTTCCTCAATCTCATCCTTTCTTCCTTCCTCCCTTTCATCCTTCTTTCCTCCATCCTTCCCTCCCACCCTTTCTTCTTCTTTCCTTCCTTCCTCAGTCTCTTCTTTCCTTCCTTCCTCAATCTCGTCCTTTCTTCCTTCCTCCTCTCATCCTTCTTTTCTCCTTCCTTTCCTTCCTCTTTCTCTTCCTTTCCTCTTTTATTCCTTCCTTCCCTCCCCCTTTCCCTTCCTTAGTCTCATCCTTTCTTCCCTTCCTTCCTTTTCTCCCTTCCTCCCATCCCTTTTTCCTTCTTTTTCTTTCTTCTTCCTTCCTATGTTTCTTTCTGTTCTCTATTCTTTTTTTCCTTCCTCTCCTCTCTTATTTTCTTCCGTTCTTCCCTCTCTTCCTTCCCTCCACTCCCCATTGAGATTGATAGGTTTTCAAATGTGTTGCTTTAATTTTTTTTGAGCAGGAGTTAGTCAGTCACTCTTAGTGGACGGTATGCAGCAGTCACATGTGAAAGAACGCTTATATACTCCTAGATTGTAAGCTCGAAAGAGCAGGGCCCTCGATCCCCCTCATGTTTTGCATTGTATTGGTATTGTTCTGTCACATGTTCTGTCCCCTTTTGTAATGTACCATTGCGCTTTATAAAATACTGTATAATAAAAATATAATATGCAGCACTTGAATCAGGCATTTCCCTTTTAACAGTCTCTCCTTCCACTCCTGGGGTCATTAGTAGATCTCAGTAGAATGAGATCTCGTCTTGCAGCCACTTACATTCCTACACATTATCCCGTCCATGTCAGTATAGTGAGATCCAGCAGGAGATTTCCCCATTCAGATCTTGATGTTTTCAAAGTGTTCCTTTGATTTTTTTTTTTTTAGCAGTGTATTATTTCAAGGGTTCCTCCATTTTAAGGAGGTTGAGAGAATAGTGGTTTACTGGCACAAAGAAGACTAGATTGGGTGTCTAGCCATGCAGATTTCAGACCTGTGTTGGGGTGGGGGGAGCCGTGAACACACAAGAACTAACACTGCAACCTCATTTAATGGGTTCCCAGTCTTCAGGTACAAGCGATGTAGAGTACAGTACATAGCAGGGTGCAAGTACATAGCAGGGTGCGCAAAAACGGTTTTAAAAACAGGCCATCACCATTATAAGTAACTGGATACAAAAGTAGTTTTGGTGAGTAGTTCCCTTTAAGAAGGCTGATTAGAATAGAGCACCCGGCATCTCTGGAGGAAGTTAATGAGGGGACAATAAATCCGAAGGGAGAATAAAGGAAACAGTCAGCATTATTACTAAATATGTACGATCCTGCCGCAGCTAATTAAACCGGGTAATTAAGAAAACATTACTTAATCCATTGTTGCACGGCGGAACATGATACGGGTGTTGGGCTGTTTTAAGTAAATGATAATTTGTTTTGTAATAATATTTGCTGTTTATGCGCTCAGTGTTGTTGATTACCGTTACAGGAGGGGCGCGAAGAATTCCACGCAGCCTCTTTAGGGTTCAACTCTGATAGAGAATACTTAACACGGGATTTAGCTGCGTGGTGCTTTCTGTTATCAGGACTGTAACGCTTCGATATCTATAATTTAATGGGATGAATTTCAAAGAAAAAAAAGAATATAATATTTTGTCTTCCAGTAAATTATATAAGTAACATACATTGATCTTTTTATTTTAATTGAGACCGCTGAACTCCAGGAAGAGAGCAGAAAAATAATAGTTGTAATGTATATATGGATTTTGTAATTATGATCAGCCAGGCTTGTGATCCAGATTCCCCTGCAGACAGTGCGCAGAGCAGAATAATTGCGCAGTATACCACCAATTGAAGGGCATTTTTCCCATGATCACCAATGTAAGGGACATCCTTCCCACTGACCCCCAATGTAAGGGACATCCTTCCCATCTGACCCCCACAATGTAAGGGACATTCTTCCTGATGACCCCCCTATGAACAAATGTAAGGAACATTCCCACTCTCCCCACACTGACCTCCAAGTAAGGGACATTCTTCCCACTGACCACCAATGTAAGGGACATTCTTCCCACTGACCCCAATGTAAGGGACCTCCAATGTACATTCTTTCCACTGACCCCCAATGTAAGGGACATTCTTCCCACTGATCACCAATGTAAGAAGCATTCTTCCACACTGACCACCAATGTAAGGGGACATTCTTCCCACTGACACACCAATGTAAGGAGCATTCTTCCACTGACCCCCAATGTAAGGGGCATTATTCTTCCATCACTGACCACCAATGTAAGGGACATTCTTCCACTGACCACCAATGTAAGGAACGTTCTTCCCACTGACCACCAATGTAAGGGACGTTCTTCCCACTGACCCTCAATGTAAGGAGCATTCTTCCACACTTGTAAGGAGCATTCTTCACTGACCCCAATGTAAGGGACATTCTTCCCACTGACCCCCAATGTAAGGGACATTCTTCCCACTGATCACCAATGTAAGAAGCATTCTTCCCACTGACCACCAATGTAAGGGACATTCTTCCCACTGACCACCAATGTAAGGAGCATTCTTCCCACTGACCACCAATGTAAGGGACATTCTTCCCACTGACCACCAATGTAAGGAGAATTTTCTTCCCACTGACCACCAATGTAAGGAACGTTCTTCCCACTGACCACCAATGTAAGGAACGTTCTTCCCACTGACCACCAATGTAAGGGACATTCTTCCCACTGACCACCAATGTAAGGGACATTCTTCCCCACTGACCCCCAATGTAAGGGACATTCTTCCACTGACCACCAATGTAAGGGACATTCTTCCCCACTGACCACCAATGTAAGGGACATTTCTTCCCACTGACCACCAATAAAAGGAGCATTCTTCCCACTGACCACCAATAAAAGGAGCATTTCTCCCATTGAAATTTTCCATGAATTGGTTTTATCACGGATTCCCGGAGACCTAAAAAGGTGCTGAAAGGCTGCTCTGCATAGCTAAAGACCTGACTGACACCTGACACCAACTGCTTTAAGAGGTCCAGCACCCAGCACCTTTCTTCCCCTTCCCAAGCAATAAAACCTTGTCCAAGCTTCTAGTCCCTTCCTACTCTATCCAAGAAGAAAATGTTTTGGCTCCAGCAATTGCAGACAGACAAAAAGAATGTGGAGCGGCAGTGAGTACGCCGCGATGGCGGCATCATCAAAGTCCACTTTCTGGGTAAACTCCAGACGCACGCTCGTCAATCACACATTGCACTTCGTCTTCAGAGTCAGAATTTTGTTTCTTTCTGCTCCCGTCAGCAATCTCCCGAGAAGAAAAACTTTTTCTTCCCAACAAATAGTTTGTGTTTTCTAGAGGAGATGACGGAGGATTTAGCCCTAAGCCGGTTCTCTGAGAATTCAGCCCTTCACGTCGCTGGGAGAGGAGGGGGACCGAGGTGCCCAGAACCCCGCTAAGCTCTCCTGGAGTACAGCAAAGAGGTTATTAGATGGAGGGGATCATTCTGCGGACACCGGCTTACCAACCTTGCCCATCATCAGATCCCATAGACTTCATTCCTGCCGGCTGAGAAAAGACAGTTCTGTAGCTGCAGGCGGCCGGCGCAACAAAACAAAAACAGCCTAAAAGGAAAAACGTTCCTATGCCATATATACTGTATAACCTGTTAACATGTGTAAAAAAAAAATGGAAAATGAATGAGTCACACCACTGTTAGAAGGTCCAGATTTTTTTCCAATAAAAGTCAGAGGGACAATCCAAAAAGTATCACTAACACATTTCATGGGGCCAAAAACACCCCCCTTCATTTGGGCTTGATTATAAGCATCACAAATAGACTAGAAATGAACTGGACCTTAAAGTGTTCCTGAACCCACAACAGTACAATCAGTCTGTAGATGCAGTAAAGCGTGCTTGTTATACTCACTGTGGAACCTAAGGGGTTAATCCTCCGCATTGTGTAAAAAAGGATGTTTGATCCTGTCTTCTCTGATCCTCCCCTTCTTCCACTGACCCCAATCCATCTGCTGATAGAACAGAGCCTTGTGAGCAATGCTGCACATGCTCAGTTTGGTGTGTATTTCTAGAGATTGTTTTTTTTCTTAGGAGAGCGCATCTGATCAGTACAGGGCTAATCAGCACTGTCCAGACAGAGGTCAGAGGTCCTGCATCCTGCTACTGGAGAATGAAAACTCCTCCTACAAGCTTTTGACCAGTGCTCTGCTGCACACTGACAGAAGTCACAAGACTGCTATATACTGCTGATGAGAAAAGGGATTTAGCAGTTTACATTTACAAAAATAATTGCATTTCCATGTTGTGTGTACTGTGGAAGGACCAGATATAGTGAATGCAGGGTCCGGGGAGAGTGGATATAGTGAATGCGGGGTCCGGGGGGAGAGAGCGGATATAGTGAATGCGGGGTCCGGGGAGAGCGGTATATAGTGAATGCGGGGTCCGGGAGAGCGGATATAGTGAATGCGGGGTCCGGGGGGGGCGGATATAGTGAATGCGGGGTCCGGGGGAGACCAGATATAGTGAATGCGGGGTCCGGGGAGACCAGATATAGTGAATGCGGGGTCCGGGGTGGTGAGAGCGGATATAGTGAATGCGGGGTTCGGGGAGAGCGGATATAGTGAATGTGGGGTCCGGGGAGAGCGGATATAGTGAATGCGGGGTCCGGGGAGAGCGGATATAGTGAATGCAGGGTCCGGGGAGAGCGGATATACAGTATATACTCGAGTATAAGCCAACCCGAATATAAGCCGAGGTACCTAATTTTACCACAAAAAAAAATGGGAAAAACTATTGACTCGAGTATAACCTGGTGGTGTCAGTGGGGGGAGGAATAGTGCCCATCGTTGGTGTCAGTGGGGGGAGAGGAATAGTGCCCCATCATTGGTGTCAGTGGGGGGAGGAATAGTGCCCCATCATTGGTGTCAGTGGGGGGAGGAATAGTGCCCATCGTTGGTGTCAGTGGGGGGAGGAATAGTGCCCCATCGTTGGTATTAGTGACACCAATGATTGGGCACTATTCCTCCCACTGACACCAATGATACTTACCCTGCTGACCCTGCTCCAGCCTGGGCTCGCTCGCTCCCTCCCTCTCCCATGGTACACACTTACCGGTCAGATGTCTTCCTTCTCCGGCCGCTCTCCTCCTCTTCACTCGCTCGATCTTCGCGGTGCCGCTCGGCTCCTCCTCTCCAAGCTCCACCTCCTCGCCGGTGATTGGGCGCCTGTGTGCCTCTCCTGAGCTACAGTTCCGGCGGCCAATCACCGGTGAGGATTGATCCCGGGGGTGTGTCCAGATGACAGGGACGGCATGTCATCCCGCCCACACCTGGAGACGTTGACTCGAGTATAAGCCGAGGGGGCCGTTTTTCAGCACAAAAAATGTGCTGAAAAACTCGGCTTATACTCGAGTATATACGGTAGGGAATGCGGGGTCCGGGGAGAGCGGATATAGTGAATGCAGGGTCCGGGGAGAGCGGATATAGTGAATGCGGGGTGCGGGGAGAGCGGATATAGTGAATGCGGGGTGCGGGGAGAGCGGATATAGTGAATGCGGGGTCCGGGGAGAGCGGATATAGTGAATGCGGGGTCCGGGGAGAGCGGATATAGTGAATGCGGGGTCCGGGGAGACCGGATATAGTGAATGCGGGGTCCGGGGAGAGCGGATATAGTGAATGCGGGGTCCGGGGAGACCGGGATATAGTGAATGCAGGGTCCGGGGAGAGAGGATATAGTGAATGCGGGGTCCGGGGAGACCGGATATAGTGAATGCGGGGTCCGGGTGAGACCGGATATAGTGAATGCGGGGTCCGGGGAGACCGGATATAGTGAATGCGGGGTCCGGGGAGAGCGGATATAGTGAATGCGGGGTCCGGGGAGACCGGATATAGTGAATGCAGGGTCCGGGGAGAGAGGATATAGTGAATGCAGGGTGTCCGGGGAGAGAGGATATAGTGAATGCGGGGTCCGGGGAGAGAGGATATAGTGAATGCGGGGTCAGGGGGGAGAGCGGATATAGTGAATGCGGGGTCCAGGGAGAGAGGATATAGTGAATGCGGGGTCCGGGGAGAGCGGATATAGTGAATGCAGGGTCCGGGGAGACCAGATATAGTGAATGCAGGGTCCGGGGAGAGAGGATATAGTGAATGCAGGGTCAGCGGAGAGCGGATATAGTGAATGCAGGGTCCGGGGGAGACCGGATATAGTGAATGCAGGGTCCGGGGAGAGCGGATATAGTGAATGCAGGGTCCGGGGAGAGCGGATATAGTGAATGCAGGGTCCGGGGGAGAGAGCGGATATAGTGAATGCAGGGTCCGGGTCCGGGGAGAGCGGATATAGTGAATGCGGGGTCTTTAAGGCTAAGTTTACATAAAACGAAACCAAACCAAAAGGGCACAAAGGCTTAGTTCATTACCATCAAACTTTATTATGAAATAAAACCAATGAGTATAGACTCACAAAGTCCATGGTAAAGCCAGTGTTGTACATAAACCCAGGAACCAAAATGGTCTTCTGGAAGGTGGAACTCACATGTTCCTAACAAGAATCATACTACCAGCTGACTTATTTCGAGGGACATGCCCCCTTCTTCAGAGCAAAAGAGTTTTTCACTGAAGAAAGGAGCATGTTGCTCGAAACCCGTCATCTGGTAGTTTGACCCATGTTAGGACCATGTGAGTTTCACCTTCTGGAAGCCCGTTTCGGTTCTTGGGTTTATGTACAACACTGGATTACCATTTGCTGTTGTGAGTCTATACTCATTGGCTTTATCTCATAATGAGATAATTTGACGGTAATATGCTAAGCCTTTGCGCCCTTTTGGTTTAGTTTGGTTTGCGCCCTTTTGGTTTGGTTTGCGCCCTTTTGGTTTGCACCCTTTTGGTTTGGTTTGGTTTTGCACCCTTTTGGTTTGGTTTGCGCCCTTTTGGTTTGGTTTGCGCCCTTTTGGTTTGTTTTGCACCCCTTTTGGTTTGGTTTGCACCCTTTTGGTTTGGTTTGCACCCTTTTGGTTTGGTTTGGTTTGCACCCTTTTGGTTTGGTTTGCGCCCTTTTGGTTTGGTTTGCGCCCTTTTGGGTTTGCACCCTTTTGGTTTGCGCCCTTTTGGTTTGGTTTGCGTACTTTCAAGATTCCCTGATCTTAAGATTCCCCTGAGAGAGCAGCATTGGCGCAACATTCCAGTGCTTGCTGAGAGCCAATGATAACCGTCTATTAAAGTCCATTTGGTTTCTCGAATGTCTCTTAGCGCTTCGGCATCAAGATTTTGCTTCTTGGTGTGCCAAGTTTACAGGAGTGCCAAAAGTAGATGTTTCATCTGCATTTTTTAAGCCTCACAAACAGGGATGGACTGACAACTCATGGGGCCCCCGGGCAATAGGAGATCATGGGGCCCCTGTGTCCTTGCCCACACTGAAAGCACATCCAAAAAAGCCCATAAAAAAACGTACCAGGGGCATTTCATGGAGCCCCCTACTGACCCTGGGCCCTCGGGCAGTGTCCGAGTACTCAAACGGTCAGTCCGCCCCTGCTCACGAACACCTGTCAATACTCTTAACGTTTCAACTATGTGCATTAAAGCCAACAGTGCCGTTCAC